CCTCTATGCGACCAAGCCGGAAACGAATGCGAACGGTTCCGTCACAAGTGAAACCGCAACTCAAATCTTGCGATTTATCTTCAAAGACGGGAAGTATTAGGCTGGCCTAACAACAGTAAATTTCAATGGCGGATAATGGCATGATCAAGGCATATTACTGCTCCACCACCGCGCGGGTCCCGGTCCATAACAACCATTCAGAACCGTTCCCTATTCGGTGTAGCGTTCGATAAGGATGTGTCCTCTCGCTTATCCTATTTAACTACGCCACTGACTGGATGCTCGGGAAGGGTCTACGTGAACACGACGATATTGAGCTTGCACCCGGACGCAGGTTGATTGACCTCGACTACGCCGATGATATCGCTTTGTTAGCGTCAAGCTTTGGCGATCTACAGTCTACGGTGTCGGGGGTGAACGAGGTCGCTAAATCGGTCGGTTTCTCCATTAACGCTGGGAAGACCAAAGTGTTCTCAGGCTGCATCACTGCCCAAGAGAAGGCACCTCTCGAGATTAATGGCCGTCGACTTGAAGAAGTAGACAGCTTCAAATACCTCGGAGCGAGGTTGCTGCCGAATAGACAGATTAAAGATAACATTGTCTCCCGAATTGACGCAGCTCGACGAGTTTTCTCTAGCCTTCGAAAGCGCCTATGGACTCGACGCGATAAGTCTATTAGCACACAGTTCTGCGTGTACTGTGCATCTGTGCGGTCTCTTCTTCCATACGGATGCGAATTCTGGGCTATACGCGTGGAAGATGAACGGAAAGTGGGGGTATTTGACCATTAATGCCTGAAGATCACTCTTCTAGTGAAGTACCCCGAGTTCGTCTCAAAAGAGACGGTCTGCAAGGATATCCCGGCCCATCCAAGAAAGACTGAGGTGCTTTGGACACGTTCTTTGTGTTACTGCCCCTCGACCCGAAACCGTTACCTAATTGGAAACGTCGAAGTGAGGGTCAGCTCAAAACCTGGCTCGATTCAGTCTGTCAGGACATGGAAGTGGTTTTTGGACCTTTGGTATACGGTCACCGGCCCTGGCGAAGAGAATGGATCGAACTGTCCAGGTCTGCCGCCACGAAGTATCGTTCGAAACATCACCCAGGGCGGTTAGATCAGTCATGATCGCAACAGCAACGAGTACAAGTAAGTACAAGTTGACACTGTACTAGTA